ACACACACACACACACACACACACACTCTCACACTCACTTCCAACAGGCCTGAGAAAGACAGAAGATTGATCTCCTCAAAACTATGTGGTTAACTGAATTCAAAACTAAATTTTTTTAACTATTCTATTTATCTAACTGACCAAAATTAATTTGGTGGTTTCATATTTAACTTTATAAAATAAACTGAGTTTTAATTTTTAAAAAATTTGTTTCACTTAACGTTCTGATTAGACTTACTCCCATTTGCCACTATTCGCTAATTTTAATCTCATAGCTGAATATAAATTTGTAAGCACTTCTATCCCTCTCCTGTTTAAAAAGCTTTATGCGTTTCAATGTGTACATCATTATTTCCCTTTACTAAATAGATAATCATTACTGTCTACCACAGTGAAGATTCAGTTTACATATACTACAAGTTTCTTTGGGGGGAAAAAAAGGTTGTACTAAAACTAACAAATTCGGTTGACTCCTTGCCATCAAACAAATCCAGTGTTTTTAATAGCTCTTTTTAATAGAAAATTTCTCCTTGAACATCTATATTCCAAATATTCCTTATTCTGCCCAAGAATGATAAAAGAAATATCAACATTTGACAAACTGATAAACTAAAGTATATAAAACAAATGACCTCAGACTTAACACCTTTGAAGGACCTATTCTCAAATAACTGCAAATTACCAATTTAATCACTTTCATTTTCTAATTCAGTGCCATCTTTAAGTTCTCCATATCCCTCAGGCTATGATACCCTAAATATATGTCCTACAAAAACCTTAATCAGTGAAAAACACAGCAATAATTTGTGGCCACTTAAGGAGAAGCAACTCCATTCTAAACTATCCAAGCTCGAGGCCTCTTTTTGCCCCTAATTTTTGCTGTCCTAAGCAATACTACTTTACAAACAGGCCTGGTGCCTAAACACGGTAAAAGGCTGAGAAAATGACTGGGAAACCAAATCCCAGTTCACTCAGTCTAGAAGGCAGCACCACTGTTCTGGAGTGTTCCTAATTATATACATCTAGTGGGCAAGCATAGTGGAAAGGGCTAGAACTCTGAGGATGACTGCAAGGCATTTCAGAAAGACTGGATAGAATCCTCACTCCAATCAGACAATATCACCAGTGGCTGGGTACCCCGCTGTGTATGGAGGCTGGGGAAACTCACCCACCATATCCTAACTTTGTCTCTAACTTTATTCTAGATAGCCATTTATATGTAGTAAATTGTATCATTTACTTACATTAAAATAACTATCAGTTTTTTTGCCTGTATCAGTTGTGGGGTCTTCGTGTCAATCATATCTTTGTCTCACTGTGGCAACTTTATAGATTATTGATTATATCATTAGCCTATATGGCTACCAAAAAATGGCTGGAAAACAAAACATTAAAAATTGAAATCTGTCCATATTTCCTGCTACTCTAGAAAACTTGTCTTATTTTTGTTAGCTGCTCCTCCACTTGTACAGAGTTGGAATATTAATGCAGAGGATATTTCTTTGGTGTCTAGGCAAAAACACCCATAAAACTGAGTTCATATCTCAGCTCTGCCACTAACAAGTTATGTCATCTTAACAAATAACATAATCTTATCCATTTCATCCAATCCACCCAATGGAGGATAAAATATTTATTTCACAAAGTTACTACAGTACAAAAAAATGTTGGCTAAAAAAGAAAACTTCAGTATTTCACTCACTTACCATAGTCTCATATCCTCCCAGCTTTCTCATATCTTAACTACCACTTTATCTCCTCTCTAACATCCTGAGATTTCGGATTTAATCTGTTTAGGGTAGGGCTCCCCAGATGACTGCTATGCAGCAAGCATGGAGAACACTATCTATTCTTCGATCACCCCATTTTCTTACACTCTTTCTTTTCTTTCCAGACTGTGCCCTGTTAGTAACTCCTGAATTGTCTCTCAGCAGCATCCTTAAATTCCCTGAAGCCCCATCCCTCCAAGACACTCACTCATTCATTAAAACCCAAACCCTCCATATCAAAGCCATAATGCACTCTACTGCACAGCAGAGCACATACCACAGGAAGGCCCACAAACCAGGATTAATTACACTATAATTTCTCAATTACCAGTTTTAGCTGAGCCCTCAACAATTTTTTTTCTCTATTGGACAGTTCTTTCTTTCATTTCCCTCACTATACCCCTGACCAAATTACTGTAAACCTTGATGAAACAGTAAGGGTTATTAATTTTTTTTAATTTCTACACTTGAATATGTATTTTTTTAATATTCTACATTGACAAAATGGAAAATATGCATAAAGCACTTCCCCACATATCAAAGAACAACAATAATCTGAAAAAAAGCAGTTGTGTGACTGAGCTGCAAGCTAAATAAACTACAAGGCTCTTTTCAAAGAACATCATTTTTACTTGAAGAATAACTAACAGAAAACTAAGGTTACACAGACTTGGGTATTTGACAGACATTTTCTCAAAAATGAACCAAGTGAACTTGTCATTTCAAGGAAAACAAAAGGTAGTGTTTGTTACCAGTGATAAAACTGTATCTGTTACATGATCTTAACAGCTTCCAATACTTGCAGTTCAATACTCTAATTTGTAAGACAGCTCACAAACACAAGAAAAGTTAAATAATGATATCATTTAAATAGAAAATAAACTATATTACGTTTGGAAATGCACAAGACAACACTTGATTAACTGTCTAAAGAACTGGACTGTCAAGAAATTGCCTATATACAAAATATGAGGAAAAAGAGAAATTTACTTGGGCAATAGCTGTCAAGAATGGCTCTATACAGGCATAAAATCCAAGTTGGGACTTGAAAAATTGGTAGGATTTAGATTTAAAAAAAAAGAAAGTGAGCAAGACATCCCAGGAAGTTTGCAATATATATATACATTTTTTTTTTCTAAGAGAAATATTATTTTCAGGTATATTTTTAATAATGTATAATGTATTCATTCAAACTCTCAGGTAATATTATAAGATCCTTAAAGGGAGAGGCCACATATTACAATTCTCTGCTATCTGAGCACAAGATCAAATTTAACAAGTTGAACTATTTGGTTGGAAAAATAAGATTTACACAGGGAAGAAGCAGAATAGTAATAATGGAAGTCCTAGGTTAAATCCCAGCTCTCATAATTACCTAGGTTGCCTTTTAGTAAAACTCACTGATTCAAACTCAAATACGCCTACTTTGAGGATCACCCTACAAACATCCTAACTAAAACAACCGCAGATAACTAATGATCAGAGATGAAATACAGACTTTGTGTTCCTGTTTTTATGCTGACCTAGTTATTTTTCATGTTATTTTCAAACAATTGATGCTATTTTTATTTTTCATTTACCAAAAGGAATTTATATACACAAGGAAGAGGAAGATGGTACATATTGTATACTACTTATATACTTATATACAATAAGTATACTACTTAATATACTATTGTATATTACTCAAAGAATTCTAGGTTGAGCACACTCCTGTTATCCCAGCACTTTGGCAAGCCAAGGTGGGTGGATCGCTTGAGCCCAGGAGTTGGAGACCAGCCTGGGCAACATGGCGACACCCTGTCTCTACAAAAAATTAGTTGGTCATGGTGGTGCATACCTATAGCTCCAGCTACTCTGCAGGCTGAGGTGGGAAGATCACCTGAGCCCAGGAGGTCAAGGCTCGAGTGAGCTATGATCGCACTACTACATTCCAGGCTGGGTGACAGAGTGAGACCCTGTCTCAAAAGAAAAATAATAATAACAGTCTCTCTTTAAAATGTTTCAATACAGCAGACAGATTTTCAAATATTTTCTGTATAATATACTGTTACCTATATTATCGAAATTGAAGCCACAATAGCATTATAATATCAGATGTAATTCTAATTTATTCTTCTTCAGATATTCTAAAATAATGCATTCTTCCTCTTCCTATCAATTTACTTCACATTCCTCCAGCCACCATGACATTATCTTCTCTTTTCTACAAATACACACATACATACACTCTTCCCCTCATTCCTACATCCTTATTGAGATAACTACAGCCACTAGAGGGCAATAAGTATACAAAGATAAATGTACTTATCTATGATGATGAACTTATCTATATGATTCACATAGTAATAAATCTAAAAAGTATATCATCACAAACCCTGAAACATAGGCAATTAGATTTGAATATGCAAGATATATATTTCAAACTCCAAAAATTATCCTGCACAGGTCACAGAAGCATATAACGATGTTCAAAAAAGGAATTCCATCTTCTCAATAAGCATTCATTTAAAAAAATTGGCCGAATTCCTTTACATGTGCATAGTAATATTAGAAATTAGGATTGCTTAATACCATCCTCAGAACAAAGAAGAAAAAGGGCAGAAAAAAAAAAAAAACACAGTAAGGTATAAATTACAGAGTGGGTAAAAAAGTGAGAAATGATTACTTCAAACTCTTCCACTACCACAATCGAGAAAACAATAAACTGAAGAGCAAAGAGGATTTACCAACCCTTTCTTCTATTGAAAAGCAAGCAAAAATTTTACGGGTATATTTTTGGGGGAGGAGAACAGTGATGGTAGAGATATACAAAGCCTTCAGTTCTTTTCTCACAATTAAGAACACGGAAGAGAAGTTAAGAGTTACCAATCTTTAAGAGGTAATTTTACCATTTTTTAAAAGAATACATTTAAATGAACTTATTTAGTTTATATGTACTTACACTGACATTACAAAACTGCAACACTTATATAAGGCTAACATTTTCAGCAAACCATAATTTTCTTACCCTCATTGGATGTATATCAGCATAAGGAGGTTTTCCTTCAGCCATTTCTATGGAAGTAATGCCGAGGGACCAGATGTCGGCCACACAGTTATAGCCTATTTCTTGAATCACCTCAGGAGCCATCCAAAATGGAGTTCCTATTACAGTATTGCGTTTTGCCATTGTATCCTGCAATAACGTTACATAGCCATAAATACTACTACAAAAGCACAAAGGAAATCTGTATGCCAAACATTCTTTTAAAAAATGTTGAAACCTCCAATGCCACAGATTATATCAGAAATTGACTATTTTGCTAAAATTTCAACTAGTTATGACATACTTAGGAATTTTGAATTCTGAAAATAACCAAGAGTCCACAGGTAACTTATCCCCACTATCGTCATTAAACACAGTCATTAAAGATAGTGCTATAATGATAAAAGCTACAGAAATGAGCTACGTAGCTTCCCTTTTAGAACATTTAAGCATTTCGATTACAAGATATATTTTCATATTCAATCACCCTAAATGATAAATTAAATAATACTCAAATTTGGCTCAATTATGGTTCTTTCTCCACAAAAATTAAAGTTACACATTTCTTTCCATTCCCCCTCAAAAAGTTATGGAAGTTTAGTTATAATCAAATCTGAACAAATTAGCCAAGTGTTTAGAAAATTATTAAAGTTAACTTACTGTTAACTGACCAGCCACTCCAAAATCTGCCAATTTTGCATGTCCTTCTGTATTGAGGAGAATATTTCCAGCTTTTATATCTCTGTGTATTTTTCTCATAAAATGCAAATATTCTAGTCCTTTCAATGTAGATTTAAGAATGGTTGCAATTTCATCTTCTGTTAACTGGAAAGAAATTTTTTTAAACCATAATTAAAATGCCATGTTAGATAAACTCTTACAAAAGAGCACTAGTAACAAGTATGTCTTTCTGTGTGTGTGTGTGCTTTTTTCAGAGACCCCAGTCTGTTGCCCAGGCTACAGTGCAGTGGTGTGGTGATAGCTCACTGCAGCCTCAAATTCCTGGGCTCAAGTCATGCTCCCACCTCAGCTTCCCGAGTAGCTAGAACTATAGGCACATGCCACCCCAACAGGTTAACTTATCTTTACTTTTGTAGAGATGGGGGGGGTCTCGCTATGTTGCCTGGGCTAGTCTTGAACTCCTTGCTTCAAACAATTCTCCTCCTCAGGAGGAGGAGAACAATTCTCAATTCAAACAATTCTCCTTCCTCAGCCTCCCAAAGTGCTGGGATTATAGGTGTGAGCCACCATGCCTAGCCACAAGTACTTCTTTCTAATGACCACTAAACCTCCAGGAAAATGCTAAAGGGGTAAATAATAGAGAACCTCTTCTTCCCACAATACGCTTTGTTACTCTTATTACACATTTTACTAATGAAAGGATCATTAAATTTCTCTCTTTAAGATTATCAGTATCAGCAGGGCGTGGTGGCTCACAGTTGTAATCCCAACACTTTGGGAGGCCGAGGCGAGCAGATCACTTGAGGTCAAGAGTTCGAAACCAGCCTGGCCCACATGGTGAAACCTTGTCTCTACTAAAAATACAAAACTTAGCCAGGCATGATGACATGCACCTGTAATCCCAGCTACTCAAGAGGCTGAGGTAGGAGAGTCACTTGAACCCTCCCAGGTTCAAGTTCAAGGCAGAGGTTGCAGTGACCTGAGATCACATCATTGCACGCCAGCCTGGGCGACATAGTGAGACTTCATCTCAAAAAAAAAAAAGAAAAAAAAAAAAAGATTATCAGTGTCATCAGTATTCCTAAAGCAAAGGACATACCTCAAGAATCAGCCTGATACAAGGAATCACTATTTTCCACATCTTCTAACACTGGGGGGAGGGGGGGCACTAGCACAGCTAATATCTGTTCTGAAAAAGTACATTCAGATACTTCCCCTGAGATATTTCAGATTCTTGATGAAAATGAAACCAACAGCTAAAGGAAAGTAAATGAGGGAGGGGGGCTTGAAATGAATCTTCTGCGAGAAGCTCCTACAACAATGCCACTCCTAACCCTTCCAAGTCCTGGACTTCTGACCTAATATTGAGAACTCAGAAGAAAAAAATGTCAGAGAAAGATTAGGAAAATGGAAACACAAGCAAAGGTTATCAGAGGAAGGAAAAAGGGGAGAGCGCAGAATGCTAAGGAAGAGACAGATGGGGAAGAAAATCTTAACAGCTATAGCAGTAGAGCCACTGCTATCTGTACCAGGCAATGTGCTAAGAGTTTTGCATGCATTCTCTCATTTATTCTTAAAACAATCTTGTAAGGTAGTGTGACATTATGAAATCATAAGAAATATTTGGTCTTTGTAGGTTCTTGGCACAAAATCTCCTAAGACCCTATGAATTGACTGAGTGAGTGAGAAGTTGAATCAAGATATTTTATCTTTGTTTTCTCACCCCTCTCACAAGAGTGAGAGGGGATGCCTTTTGTCATTCATAATAAGCTCCTTTCAACCATACCAGAATTTATACTGATCAGGTGACTCGTGGTGGGAGCCTACTTAGCTTCAGGATGGGAGCTGGTTGCCAAAAAAACCAACCAAGTGATTAGAAGTTTGGAAATTTCAGCCCAACCTCTGACTTACGGGAGGGCTGCAGGGAGAGAAGGGGTAGAGATTTAGTTAAGCACAAATGTCCAAAGACTTAATCAATCATGCCTACGTAATAGTACTAACCATAAAAACTCTAAATGATAGAGACTGCTCTCAAGCTTATATTCTATCTATAAGCAATGGGATAATTTGATAGAAAACAGGATAACACAGGAAAATGTCTGTGAAAATTGCTATGAGGACAATAATAGAGAGCTACTGATAGAGAATGACTGAGAAGCTACTTTAGACTGATATTCAAAAAGGCCCAAAAGACATTTTACTAAAGTCTAAATGATATAAGGGGGCCAGCCATGTGAATGGCTATCTGGGAACATACATTCCACAAAAAGGGGGAAAAAAAAAAAAGATTAAAATATCTTGATTCAACTTCTCAAATTTTCTAAAACACTGAATAAGAGAGAACACTTCCAATCTCATTTTAAGAGGCATTATTCTGATACCAAAGCCAGACAGTCACTACAAAACAACTACAGACTAATATCCCAGATGAACATTGATAGAAAAATCCTCAACAAAATACAGCACACCCACTTCAACAGGCTCTTAAAAGGTTATACACCATGACCAACTGGAAAGTATTCCTGGAATGCAAGAATGATTCAACATACAAACTCAAACAATGTAATACACCACCTTAACAGAATGGAGACGAAAACACATGATCATTTCAAATGAAAACAGAAAAAGCATTTGACTAAATTTAACTTTTCATAAAACACACAACTAATATGAATAGAAGGAAACTATCTCACCATAGTAAAAGCCATATATAAAAAACCCAAAGTAAACGTCATACTCAAAGCTGTAAGACTGAAAGCTTTTCCTCAAAGATCAGGAACAATGCACGGATGCTATTAGGTTGGTGCAAAAGTAATGGCAAAAACCGTGGTTACTTTTGCACCAACCTAATACTTCTGTTCCACATAGTACTGGAGGTTCTAGCCAGAGCAATTAGGCAAGAAAACCAAATAAAGCCATCCAAACTGGAAAAAAATAAGTAAAACTATCTCCGTTCACAGATGATATGATCATACATGTAGAAAATTCTAAAGCTTCCACAAAAAAACCTATTAGAAGTAATAAATAAATTCAACAAAGCAGCAGTATACAAAAATCAACCCATGAAAATCAGTTATATTTTTATACATTACCAATGAGCAATCTGAAAGGGAAATTACAAAAAAAAATCTGTTTACAATAGAAATAGAATTTCTTTATTTTAAAGAATAAAATACTTAGGAATTAATTTCACCAACGAGGTGAAATATCTGTACAATGAAAACTACAAAACACTGCTGAAAAAACAAATTTAAGACATTAATAAATAAAAACCTATCATAACTTCATAGATAAGAAAATTTAATGTTTTTAAGATGCCCATGCTACCCAAAGCAACCTACAGATTCAACACAATCCCTACCAAAATCCCAGTGATGCTTATTGCAGAAATAGAAAAACTTATCCTAAAATTTGTATGAAATCTCAAGGGGCCCCAAATAGCCAAAACAATACTGAAAATAGAAGAACAAAGCTATAAGTCTCATAGTTCCTGATTTCAAAACTTATTACAAAGCTATTGTAATCAAAACAATGTGGCACTGGCATAAACACAGACAGACAGATGGATGGAACAGAGTAGAAAACCCAGAAATAACCCTTGTATACATAATCAAATTATTTTCAACAAGAGTGTCAAGAACATTCAACAGGAAATGAATAGTATTTTCAACAAACAGTACTGGCACAACTGGATACCCGTGTGCTAAAGAATAAGTTGAACCCTTACCTAGCACTATACACAAAAATTAATTGAAAATGGATCAAAGACCTAAACATAAGACCTAAAACTATGCTACTCTTGGGAAAAAATAAAACAGGGCAAAAACCTCAGAATACCAGATTTGGCAATGGTTTATCAGATACAACCAAAAAGGCGCAGAGAACACAAGAATAAAACAGGCAAATTGGACTTCATGAAAATAAAAAAAAAAAAAAACAACGCACATCCAAAGACAGTATCAACAGAGTAAAAAGACAACCCACAGAATGGGAGAAAATATTTACAAATTACATATCTGGTAAGACATTAACATACAGAATATAACATACAGAACTCCTAAAACTTAACAATAAAAAAATCAAATTCAAAAATGGGTAAAGGACTTGTATAGATATTTCTCCAAAGATATACAAATGGCCAAGAGGCAAGTGGAAAGATCCTCAACATCACTAATCATAAGAGAAATGTGAATCAAAAACATAATGAGATACCACTTCACACCCATTATGATGGCTATTATCAAAAGACAGAAAAGAACAAATGTTGGCGAAGTAGCAGAGAAATTGGAACCTTTGTGTATAGCTAATGGGAATGTAAAATGGTGTGGAAAACAGTATAAAGATTCCTTTAAAAGTTAAACATAAAATTACCTTATGACCCAGCAATTTCACTTTTGGGTAAATACTCAAAAGAACTAAATGCAGGGTCTCAAAGAGGTATTTTTGAACAAGTTTCACCTCGTGATGAGTGTACACCCATGTTCATAGCAGCAACATCCACAATGGCTAAAAAAGTGGAAGCAACCCAAATGTCATCTGACAGACAAATGAATAAGTAAAATGTGGTAGAAACATACAATTGAATTTTATACAGCCTTAAAAGGGAAGGCAGTTCTGCAATATGCTACAACATGGCTGAAGCTTGAGTACATTACGCTAAATGAAGTCAGTCACAAAAAAGACAAGTAATGTATGATCCTGCTTATATGAAATACTCAGAGTTACCAAAATCATAGAGATAGACAGTAGAACAGTGGTTACCAGGGGCTGAAGTAGCAGCGAATGGAGAGTTACTGCTTAATTGGTACAGAGTTTCAGTCTTACAAGATGAAAAGAGGGGGATGGATAATGGGGATAATTGCACAACTTTATAAATGTATTTAATGCCACTGAACTGCATACTTAAAAATGGCTAACAGGGCAAATTTTGTTTATGTGTATCTTGGCACAATAAAAGTAAAACCGAGGGGGGGAAATGTCTTGATTCAAGAAAAAGCTCACCATATTTGAGTTGAATAAAGAAGGCTGAAGTTTAATGCACCAGGAGAAGACTAGCCCTAGATGAGATCTGAGAGACAGGCAAGGACCAGATCATATAAGGCTTTACTGGCCATAGAAAAGGAGTCTAGATTACCTGAAAATTC